TTCCGGTACATTTCCGGAAAATTTCCATGGGAAGTTAAGCTGGGGAATTTTGGAAATATTCGATGCAAAATTAAACAAAAAACATGACATTTCAACAGATTATTTTTTTTTTTTTTAAGTAGAACAGAACAGCTTTTTATTATTTCATTGAAGAACGAAAACAGGAATGTTGAGTTAAATATTACTCATCTGTGCATGTGATGGAGGAATGCACAATGCCTGTAGGGGGTGTGGTCTCAATACCCATCCAGTAAGAAGTGTGCTATGGCATGGATATTCAAGTGTACTTGAATGGCATCTGTTTGTTTTAGTCAAGATTATGCAAAAATATACTTTCCCCAACTATATTTAAGTTCCCTATGAAGAGCCAACCTTCAATTTAGAAAATTCCCAGTTTTTTCCCATTAATTCCCATGGAAAGTTTCCATCTTTGAAAGTTCCCGGAATTTTGCAGCCCTACTCACAGGGAGGGGGTGGCAGGAGCTCCAACAAGCCGTGTAGGACAGAGAGTGAATACACATACTTTACAGAGATGCTGTATGAGAAACCAATGTGAGTTTGGAAAATGTCACAATATAAATCTATTCTAGTATATCTCAACAATGGAATTATGATCAGTAGAAATGGCCATGACATGGGACTTTTAAGATGCCCTCACGAATGGCCCGATGTTGTTACGATCAGAGCCACATTTGAACATTTCCTTTATCGTGTGTCCGTCTGGTGTCAATTTCGGGACAGTGTGACAGGGGCTTAACTGGCTGTATGTTTTTAGAAGATATTTTGCTTATTTACTTTATAACTTTTGACCTTGAGTGTTGTGGGTTTCCATCATTTGCTGGTGATAATGCAGTAAATAAGAACATTTCAAATGCACTTTACCTTTATTTCTTCATAAAATAACAAGTGAGCAAATATCCAGAATATTGTACTTTGGGCGACAGCTGTGTTGGTGCATCACTAAATATGTATCCAACATTTCCTCTGTGCCTTCCATCAGATCAAATACGCGGGTTCAGACACAGACTTCAGCGCCTCCCCAGCTTTCTGTAAACAGATTCGCAGGGTGGAGTCGGAGGAGCAGAGGGTGATAGGAACGCAGACCCCGCTGCAGGCGCTGCTGGAGGGCCTGATCGCAGACAGAGAGCTCCCTGCCAAGGACAAGAGGAAACGCCTCAAACAGGTAGGGCTGGACTAATATGTTTTAAAAGAGAAATGTCATTAAATATAGATCTCAGAGGCCCTTTATGAATTTATACTGTAATGATGCATATCCTTTCCGTTTCAGTTCCAGAGGTCGTACCCAGACGTCTATAACTATCGATTTCCCACGGAGGAAAGCAAAGCTGCTGCACTGCCTGAGAAAGCCCCACGACTCAAACCTCACCTCATGTTCCTCAGGAAACCTTTCCAGCCCTTCCAGAGGAGCTGGAGCTTCAGAGCGTGAGGAACCCCGCTGACACATCTACTCTCATGCTGTACACACAACTCTAACTCAGCGTCATGAGGAGAACACTGTGGTTGTAACGTTACTCTGGCCATACAAATAATGTTTAAAAAGAATAACTGGACAAGGCTGTAGCACTGTTAACCTAAGATAATACTGTAAAGGGTTGGTTCACACAAATACACTTAATTATAATAATAAGACATCCTAACTGTTTTACTCTTAGCACTATCTGAGGCTGCATTTACACGGGAACGCAAACAAACCGAATTCGATATCAAATAAGTCTTCCGTTCACACGGATACGGCTCAATAAACGTGTCCCTTCACACGAGACCGCTCGACCCGCTGGAGATACTGTAGTACATATGCCGGGCCTGTAAGTGGCGCTGTACTTCCGCCACAAAATACACCAAAAGCAGCGAAGAAGACCCCCGAGCATGGTTGCCATGGTTGCCCTTCTGTTTATTCTCCGCAGTGGATTTAGGAACATGTAGTTCATGTAATTCTCCATGTCCACTTGTTGCTGATGGTTGTGGTAGAGGAGCTGTAGATTTTGCACTAACATCTGGAGTGGAGTGCACCAGCTGGGCGTAAGCTGGGCGTAACTCTACGTCCGACGTAGAACCGAAGGTTAAGACCAAACTAAAGTTATGACTAGTGCACCACTTAGATTTAAGCCCTGTATGCGTTGCGCCCGGGTGTAACTTTTAGGCCTAGTATGGAGCAGGCCTAAATCGGAAAGAGAGACTAGTATCCATAGTAACGTAAAACAGGCAAGAAGGAAAATAACTATGGCAGTGCGTCTTGTTTACATGTTGTAACAACGAAAGGGCATTAAGACGAGAGAGTCGTCCGTGATCGAACAAACCCACTGGACATCTATTCAGTGAGGTGATAGAGAGGTTTCGTTTCGGCAGACAAGCCCTTTTTGATTTAATCGAGGAGATCTCCCCTCAACAACAGAACGGATCAGACAGAAACTCTGCGCTCTCCCCAACCTTGCAGTTGCTGATTGCGCTCAGATTTTACTTTAATACTGTGGGAGACATGATTAATGTTCATCGCACAACTGCATGTCGGGCTATTAGACACGTTTCCTTGGCTCTCCAGCGCCGCCTTAGGAATTATATTTACTTACCAACACAAGAAGAAGCAGCAAAACCCTCCTGGCATCCGTGAAGATATCGGTGGACGACTTAACCGCAATCACATAATAAACAACATATAGCCCTGTATATTTGTAATATGAACGCTGTTTTTTTGCATTCGCATTTCAATAAGCTCCCATTGTGACCACATATTTTCATTGGGCCGTTTTATAGCCTATTTTATTCAAAAAATACACACAAGAACATTAGATAACAACATTTTGAGAACTATTAACATGAAATTGAGATAAATACAACAAATATGATTAGAGAATGGTGAATGACAAATTGTCTTCTTCAGTGATTCTTTGCTGATTCTTAAGAATTATAGTTTTGAGTCTTAATTTGTCCTTCTCCAGCTCAATTTTGTCATGTTCCGCTGTAGTTTTGCGGTCTCCACCTCAAACACGAACGATCTCTTTCTCCACCAGTTCACGCTGTAGCTCTGTAAAATCCCTTATTTTTCGGGGTGTGGGCATCATTTTTCTCTTCT